GATCATCCAACTATATATAACTATATATATATATAGTTATACATGAATATAATCCAAGTGAGTGAATGGGAAATATTTTGACATTTTTAATTGCGTTTCGGCTGCTTTGCAAATAGTTTTCCACCGACTTGTCGAATAATGCGCAAATTAAAAACTGTTAAGTGGAAAACATAAACAAATTGAGGGGTGGAGAAAATGGCAAAGTGCTTGAAATGTTGTGGTAATTAAGAACAGCGATACAAAGATACACTTTACAGGCTGGCAGACACCTGTGCCGGGCTAACTGGGTGACGAGAGATACATTTCGTTTTGGGAAAGTAAACAAACGCTGCTGTCTTAGGAGTGTTTTGTAAATATAACAGCGAGTACAATGGCAGAGAGATGTGGTGCTGGTGCTGGTTCTGGTGCTGCTGCTGGTTCTGGTGCTGCTGCTGATGCTGCTGCTGCTGCTGCTGATGGTATTGGTTTTGTTAATACAACTGGCAACAGATTGAGGCAGCTTCAGGTTCTCTTAGAGACAACCTTTTTGGGGCTAGATGGCAGGAGGCCTCTGATGGCGTTGATAGCGGGGGGTCATCTCCAGCCATGACCTCTTCCATTTGCTTTGCACTTGATTTGCTCCAAACGAATTTCGAATTTTATTTTGGCTATATGAATGAAGTGAGGCAGGAGCCAAAATGAAAAGCACATGCAAAGCAATCAGCAACAACAACAATCCACAATCAGCAACAAATTTGATGCCACAACATTTTTACGCTTACGAATTTCGAACTCTGTGTTCAGTGTGTGTGTGTGTGTGTGAGTGTGTGTGTGTGTGTGAGTGTGTGTGTGAGTGTGTGTGAGTGTGTGTCTGAGTGTGTCTGTGTTTGTGAGTGTGTATTGTGTATTGTGTATTGTGGAAAGCCACGCAGATAAAAACTCGAAAACAATAACAATATGAGCCAAGCAACTGCCAAAAGTTGCCCTAACACATTGCCAGGTATGCCGACTCTCTCATTTAAATTGTCGCTTGTCAGCTTGAAAGCAATAATTTATAATCTTTATTGAAAGGAATTTCAATTCGTTTCTTAGATAGAAGATAGAAGATACTGCTCCATATATCAGACTAAGCTGCTGCCTCTCCCACTCTAAGGGGATTCCTATGCAAATGGCGGGACAGGTCCGATAGAGAGAGAGAGAGAGAGAGAGAGAGAGAGAGAGAGAGAGAGAGAGAGAGAGAGAGAGAGAGAGAGAGAGAGAGGGAGAGTATTGTTTGATTTTTGGCCTCTATGCGATGGCGATTGCTGTGGTTTGTTGCTGTTGTTGCTTGTTGTTGTTGCTTGTTGTTGCTGTATTTGCTGCTGCTGTGGTTTGTTGCTACCTTTTAATTTTGTTTGAGCTCAATTTCGTGCCTCGTTCGACGTTCAGCCGGTTTTTGGCTGGCCTATGTGCGACTAAATGTAAATCGATTCGAATGCGTTTTTATGAATTCGGCACGCGTCTGCGTGCGCATTTCAGAGCTACACACACAAACATCAGTTCATGTCAGTGACTCTCTGTTTACGAAAGACTGTGCCAACTTATTGTAAGTAGCAACAGCAACAGCAACACACACACACACACACACACACAGAGTAGGCACACCCACAGCCATACACAACACACAACACACACGCAACACGCAATCAGGCTAGTTGCTTGATGTCTGTCTTTCAACACCAGCTCTATCTCTATCTCTTTCTCTGCAGCCATTCAAATGTTGTGCTCCTCTCTGCTCCCCTCCAACCCAACCCCAATCCCAATCAACATCCCCATCAATAATAAACCTACTGACCACTGATAGAAACCGAAACTCTAAAAACGAAACTCGAGCAATACGTCTGCATTTGCGCTTGATTTTCGAGATGTGTGTGTTTTTTTTTGCACACATTGAGGTTGTCATACCCTGTATTCATTGAATGCAGATTAAATTTCAAATTTCACTTATCTGTGCCTGCGCTTACAGGGTGACTGCTAGTCCAGCTAGTCCCGTTTGGAGTGGGCTTCTCTCATTTGGATTTGTTTTTCAATGGTGATCGATGATTATTGGCATCGGCTTGTCTCCGCTCGGCTCGGCTCGGCTTGGCTTGGCTTGGCTTGGCTTGGCTTGGCTTGGCGAGGCGAGGCAAGCTATGCGGCATGCCACCTGCTGGCACATCCATTTAGCAGACGCTGCGTGGTAATTGAAAACGGCTCGTAATTGCGTTTCTCACGCCTTTTTCACACGCAACACGGCTTGTTTGGAAATCAGTTTTCAATTTCCAATCTTGTGTGCGCTGTGTGTTGTTTATGATGTGTATGTGAGGTCTAGAGGACAGACTTCGATCATGCCTCATTTAGCGGCAATTCGCCGGCAATAGGCAACAATTTTGTTGTTGTTGTTGTTGTTGTTGTTGCTCGCCGATGCCGATGCCGATGCTGATGCGATCGCAATGCGCACAATGAGCAGCGATTGTTTGCATTTTATAAGTATTTATTAGATAAGTTGTGCTGCTGGAATTCAATTAAATCGAATCGCTGAGACGACAGAGATGATGTCAGTTAAATGCTGCAATTGCAGTTGCAATATTGCAAATATTGTGAAATTGGTGCAGTTCATCGTTGCAAAGATGCCAAATGCCAAATGACGAGTCTAACTTTGGTTTTTTTCTTCTTGTTTTTGTTTTTTTTTTTTTGTTCTTTGTGGAATTTGAATTTAATGATGCGATCCAGCGACAACAATGTGTATAAGAATGTATACTATGCATATAATTAAGTACATATGTATTTGGCTAATGCGCATGTATGGATTAATTACTCTTGGCTAAAAGTTAATTTATGTGCAAATTAATTCTTCACATTTAACATTATCGACATCTATCGGCATCTATTATTTCCTCAGCTGCTAATAACAATGATGCTGATCTCATTGATATATGCGATGAAGCGAGCAATACTCGTAGTCGTATATTATATCCATTTACTGATTGCCTAAGGAGTCTGTTTTTTTTTTGGTTTTTGTTTTTCTTTTTTTTAATTGCTGCAACAGCAACAGCAACAGCGATAGCAACAGGCCAACGGGCCACGGCCAACAGGCAACAGTTGGCTAAAAATAGCCAAACTTGGCGGCGGCAGCATCACTTTCCCCCTTTTGGTCAAGTTGGCTAAAGGAATTTCAATAGCTGACTTAATACCCACTAAATAATCCGGTAGTTTAGCATGAACTGTAACGGTTCTCAAGTGCGTTGCCAACAACAGCAAGCAGCAGGCAGCAGCAAGCAGCAGCAAGCAGCAACAACAGCAAGCAGTAAAACAACAACAACACCAAGTAAACAACAACAGTTACAGCGACAACTTGGCGTCCACTGTTGCTGTTGCTTGGCCATTGGTAAAGGCCGCTGTTTGGCTGCTTGATCGTTCTTGACTGTTGTTGTTGCTGTTGTTGTTGCTGTTGTTGTTGCTGTTGTTGTTGTTTTTGTTGCTGTTGTTTTTGGTGTGTTGCTGTTGCCGTCGTGTGTTGCCAAGCTGAGTGATTGTAAAGCTGGCAGCAGTTGCTGTTGTTGTTGCTGCTGCTGCTGCTGCTGCTGCTGCTGCTGATGTAGCTGTGCGGTGGCTGGGCAAAGCTGTTAAACGACTATGAAAACTAAATGACACCACCGCTGGCAGCACCACCACCGCCCGCATCAGTAATAAATATACCACAAGATCGGTGTAAAATTGCGTTCCAGTTGCCTGCTGAACTACTCCGAACCACTTGGAGTGGTTGCCTCTATTTCTTCTTCGTCTTCGTTCACTTTGCATGTGGTTGCTCTTGTTGTTGCGCATCGACAGCAGGAGCAGCAACTTCAACTTTTAAATACCCTTACACAGTGTATAATAATTATGTCGTTCAGCTTGTAGAGCATATATAGCATATATAGAGCAACGTGGCCGGATCGTTTGACTATATCACATCGTTGCCATCGGAACGATCTGTCTTCTTATGTGAAAAACATTTTTGCTTACATTTTTAATATATTATTATTGATATTTATCAGTCGGTTTTGTTGTTGTTTAATTTCAATGTCGACAGGTTGACAGGTTGGCAAGGTCTGCAAGGGTATTTTATGTTCGGCGTAGCCAAGATATATATTCTTATATTTCTTCTTCTTATTTTTCGTATTTTCGTATTTTGTTTCATTTGTGCTGCTGACGGTTTTGCATTTTCAATTTGTACGATTCGGCTGAAGCCCAAAAACTGGTTGATACTACTTACGAATAGTTCCTATAAATGGAGCTACAACAGCTGCATGAAATAATCCACGTGCGTAGGCAATAAGACCAACAACAACAGCAACAGCAACAACAACAACAACAACACTTAAACCAGATTTCGTTTGGTTCGATTGTATAATTCTAGACCAGACATTGACATAGTCGCCGTCTAATCTTTGTGTTACTCGCTGAATGCATAATAGGCCACTTCTAGTGGCCATTGCCACCGCAATGGACTCTTTCGACAGTGCCACTTGTGGCTAATTGGGCTACTTTACTTGCAAATGAGTAATTGAATGCCCAGTGCTTATTTTTCTTTTTTTTTCTATTTTTTTTTCTTTTTTTTTTTTTGTAGACGAGTACAAGTTTCTTGGGATCTATTCACCCTGACATAATGCACTCGCTAACTGCAAACGCTTAGCTATCGATGAGATTGCTAACGCTGCAATCGAGCTGCATGTTTACAGCCTACACTTTGTGTAGTTGCCTCACCACCCACTCGGGGGGGCAGCACCTATTGAGCAATATAAACCCCCACATCGTGTATAAAACAGAACAAGCCCAATCTGATGAGTTATCCAAGTGTTTCATTTAGTTTTTGGTTTATATATTGAGTAAGCTAATTGCATCTGTTTTCCATGCTTTTGCTCGTATTTATCGAATATTCAGTGGCAATCAGAAAATACATTTGTTGGGTTAAATCATTTTGTTTTTTTTTTTTTTTTGCTTAATGCTACATGTTAACTCACCTTTTGACCAAATTGAAAAACCAAATGAGTGCTGGAAAAGAGAAACAAACGGAAACCAATGAGCAAATACATCCATACATCCATATAAGTAAATAAATAGTGTGTAAAATTTTTGCAAAAATTGTAAAAACATAAAGCAGCAAGTGTGTGTGCTGACAGAGATTTTGGCCCAGATGCATACACACACACACACACACACACAGCAGATGTATAGCTGCAGTTGAAAAGCATGGACATGTCGAAAAACAGCTGGTGTTTGTGGGCGAGGAGAGTTGAGGAGAACGAGGATGTGGCTTTCCGCGGACACCATTTGAAGCACACATAAAAAATGGCAAATGAATAGCAGGACAGACACACACACACACACACACATACACACACACACACACGCATTCATACATTTTTTGTTGTTCTGGTGTAGTTGATGTTTTGCAGGATGCCGGATTGGATTGAGTCATTGAATTGAATTGAATACGTGCGAGCACGAAACGAAAACCATTGCTACGTGTTCTGCTCATGTTGTTGTTCTTGCTACTGTTGTTGTTGTTTTGTTGTTGTTTTTTGTTGCTGGTTTGCTGCTGTTATGTATTAGCAGGATGTCAATGTGTGCGTTGCCCAGAATTATGTATGTGCAAACATCCAGCAAGACCATGTCCAACCCGCCACCCATCCACCCACCACCTAAGCCAGTCTCCACTAAAGACCCTAACCTCCTTTGCTCCCTTCCCGCCTATAGCCTAGATGGGATCGCACGCGTAAAAAGCATCAAATGTTGTCCGAAAAAGCAAAGCACATCAAAAAGAAATAAGTGTGAGTGTCTGGCTCTGTCTCTGTCTCGCACGTAACCGACTGCACAATACTCTTTTATAAGGTTTAGTACAAAGATCGAGGTATACCTAAGTGTGCTCGATTTGTCAACCGAGCCCGTCTTAAAACTTTGCAGAGCGATAACATGAACCAGCTTATGCATATTGAAGATTCAGGTCATTAGGTTCGAGGCAGAAAAGAGCATTACACAAATCAAATATACCCTTAAAAATTCGGGCTTAGAGTATGACAAGCGAACAAACGGATTGGCGAGCGAAGTTCATTGGTTCAAATTGACATCAGTTGCTGATTTTAAATTAAAAATTTGCGACGTGTGAAGTTGATTTCAATTTGGGGGCCCAACTGACAGATGAACGGATAGACGAGATACACAGGATACGGCACGAGCTTCTCAGCGTTTGATTGGGTTAGAACAGGCATCGCATATATCTATCTATGTATGTATGTATGTATGTATGTATGTATGTATGTACAAAAGGCTGTCGATGTTGGTCATGTTTTTGACTGACCACGTAACTGGGCTGGCCACAGTTCGATCGGTGGGGAGGGGCGGAGGCGAGGCGAGGCGAAGCGAGGCGAAGCGAGGCGGTGGCTATCAGAAAGCAGAAACGCTGAAATAACAGTTGATGCCTCGTGACAAGCACCCACACAGGATTGGGAGTCGGGAGAAAGGGAGAAAGGGAGAACGGGAGAATGTGAAAGCGGAAAAACAGGAGAACGGACAGTTATCTCATGTCCGGCACAGCCACCGCCACCAAATTGAAGCTAGAATAGATGTAGCCCGATGGAGGATGAGGATGTGGGTGAAGGAAGTTAGTTTTGGTGGCTTCATAAATATAGATTAAATAGTTGATATAAAAATGAGTATCTCTGCGTGAATATTGTGAATGGATGGAGCACAATTGTAATGCCCGAGCCACAAGTGCTGACGACTGTCCTGATGCACTCACTACTCAATCGGGATTAGCTCACTGCCAAGTGAATGGATTCACGAGTGAGCGCAATTGCCAATTGTCAGAGCTCAATTCAATGGATTGAAGCAACTGCAGCAGTAATCCCCCAACTGCCCTAACTGCCCCATCCCCATCCCTCTCACTCACAGAAACCCCAGCATCCACATGCCACATGCCACAGTACTTTTTTGTTTTGTTTTGTTTTTTTTTTTAAGCATGGGTCTGTTTAGACTAATTATGTATTATGAATGCACTTTGGAATGCTGCGGGTGTCAAAGTCATTGTCTTATATAATACCGTTATGACATTATCAAGACCATACTTTATATGTACACACACACACATATACACATATTAAATATGCCTGTGTGTGTGTGTGTGTGTGCGAGTGAGTGTGTAAAGAGGTACTTGACATTCACACGCACATTCAACACGCACTGTCCAAAAAGAGCAGAGCACAGAGCACAACAGTGGGAAGGGAGGGAAGGGCGGATAAGAGGGCAGAGGCCAGCTTTATGACCGATACGCACAGACACAGGCCCACTAAAAAGCTATTAACAAGTAATAATGACAACAGCAGCAACAATGCGAGGAGCAGCCATAAACTTGAGTGCAACAGTTAGAGCAATGGGAAAGGCCGCGGCTGCATGTGCCACACTTGAACTCATAAATTCTAAGAACCCGCAGATAACCTACATACATATATGAATGTGTCTATATAAATTATCTCTGTCTCTCTCTCTCTCTCTCTTTCTCCCTCGCTCTCTCCCTCGCTCTCTCTCTGTCGTGTGTGTGTGTGTTTTTGTTTCTCTATAAATAAACACTGTGCGTGCTTGTTTCTCTATGTGTCTTCCACGCATTAGTGTGTGTGTTTGTGCTTAAGCAAAGTGCAACATCAACAATGACTGCTGCTGTCGCACTGTGGCAGCAACAAGTTGATGCAGTTGTTGCTGTTATTATTATTGTAGCCGTTGATTATGACAACACCGATGATATGTAACCCTCTGTCTATGTTTGTGTGGCACCGTCAATATACCCATTCAAACATTAAAGCGACGCCCAAGTTCATAATCTTCATGTGAGATGACTACTGTCGACGCCAGCGTGCAGCGCACTGTGGGACCATCGCCCACAAAATGTTACAAAAAGTGCTTCGACTTTAAAGTATACTTTTAAACTCGAGTATCAGAGCACCTTCTTTTGATATCGATTAGCATCCGACTAGTCAATATAATTAGTACATTTTGGCCAACAATTTATCCACATGGAATCACTATATATATACAGGTTATGTGGATTCAATTCAAAAAGGGGAACTCTGCAGTGCAAAGAGAATGTAAATGAAGTTTATCGCTTGTCATTTGAATTGGATTGACAAATCCCATAATTTATGCCATGGTGCCACGCTTGGTGTGCGGCCCAGATACACAAAGAATAAACCGGAATTCTTCCACATGCCACACAAAAGATGCTCAGGCGACAAAAAAAAAAAATAAATAATAATAAAAGAAAAAAAAAACGAAAACAAAAAACAAAAACACCCACACACTGAAAATAACAGCTGCTATTGGCAGGACAGAAAGCATATTTAGAACAGGGCAGGGGGCAGCAACAGCAGCAACAGCAGGTTAGCAGCACCTGGTTGCCACTTGCTGCAAGGGTAAATCATTTTGACCAGTCAAACTAATCCGTTTTTGTTTTTCTCTCTTTGTTTCATTTCTGATTGCAGCGATAGGATTGTGCAATAGGATTGTGGGATTGGTAACGCTGCAGCGGAGCTGGAGCTGCAGGATTGCCGTCATGGCATCATCATCGAGAGGCAACAAGCAGCAACAACCATCCGTTCGCTGGCTGCTGCTACCGCTGCTGGCGCTGGCCGCGCTGCACATGCACACCTGGAGGGGGCCAGGAGTTGAGGCGCTACCGATCACCTCGCGACCCATCGAGGGCAATGCCCAGGGAGAGGCATGGCAGGCATGGCTGGGTCTGTCCGACGAGCAACGTACGCTGGAGAAACAAAAAAAAGTGATGCCCAAGTCAATATTCGCATTGCCCTTCCGTAACTGCCCGCAGGGCCACAAGCTATACAACGATCGCTGCATACCGCAGATCAATATCAATCCCACCGACGTGGCGGCACAGGAGCTACAGGGCCAGGTGGGCGAGAGTGGTGGCAGCCAAATCCCCTTGACGGACTACGACTACAGCGACAGCGAGAGCGATGAGATGAGCTACGTGTTGCCGCTGGGTACGATCATACAGAGCGAACCGTTATCGACGCTAACCAGCCCGAGTGGTGCCGAGGACCAGGCGCTGCCCAGCGAGGATGCACCACTCAAGTTTAATATATTCGAAAAGAAGTTTCCCACCGCTCCCGACGAGTCAATGCAACCCGATGCTGTCAATACGACGTCAGCAATAGCAACAACACCTGCAACTGCTATTGCCACTGCAACGACCGCGGCCACGCCCACAATAGCAACATTGCGTAAAGATGATGCACTGAAGACGCAGCGTCAGTCAGACAATCGAATCACTGCTGATGCTCAAGATCTTCAGGCTGATGCCAGCAACGCGCTGCCAAGCACAACATCCGTCAGTGTACCCAGCAGCAGCAGCAGCAGCCGCATTGGTACCTTTGGCGATATTGGCAATATCGATGCAATTGTTGTGCCAGTGGGCGTGTCCCTGGACACGGTTCAACTGGTGACAAGTTCGAGTGCGGATGCGAGGCCAGTGGCAAATACGGAGGCAGAGGCCGAGGCCGAGGCAGAGGCAGACGCAGAGACGGAGCCGGACTTGGAGCAGTTGCTCAAGGTCGACGCCTTTCAGCCAGTTTACGGCAGCAGCAGCGGCAGCAGCAGCGTAAATATGATGCCACTTTTCAGTCATCGTCGCATCTCGCCGCTGCTCAGCGCCGATATAGATGGCGATGATGCAGCGACAACGGATATTGTTCCAACATGGGATGATGATGGCGATGCTGCTGCTGCTGCTGCTGCTTCGACTACGACGACGACGACAACAACAGCAACAACAACAATAACAACTACAACAGCAGCAGCAACAGCAACTGAGGCGTCACCCACAACAACGACATTGCCATCGACCCAGGCGCAAGTTCCTGGAGAAGAACAAGACATCGATGAAAGCGTCGTGAAAAAATCGAAAGTGCAACCGGTTCAGTTGAGTTCCACGATGGCCACAACAGTAACAGCTACATCAATGGCAAGAGCAACAATAGCATCGATATCAACAACAACAACAACAACAACAGCAGCAGCAGCAGCAGCAGCAACAGCAGAAACAACAACACCAGCCACTGTTGATGCTGCTGCTGAAACCGAAGTTGCTGCCATACGTCAAGATGACAATGGCAATAAGAGAGATGATGACCGGTTTTATTATCAACATTTTGCCAGAAATGTTGCTGCCAGTGGTAGCACCAGCAGCAGTAGCAGCAGCAGCAGTAGCAGCAACAAGAGCAGCAACAACAGCGGCAGCAGCAGCAGCAGTAGCAGCAGCAGCAGCAGCAGCAACCGCAGCAGTAATACTGACAGTGACTTGGATGTGCTGAACGATATGGCATCCAGTGAAAATTTAATGACAAATACAATCGGTGGCCAGGGTGACAGTGAGAAGCCGGCAAGTGAAATTAATTTCGAGCATGAATTGCGCATTATAAACGAGCTGGTTAACGGCAAGCGGCGATTACCGCAGCTGCAACAAAAGCAACATGAGCAACAATCAACGACCAACGCGAGCAGCAACAATACGACAATGCCAACGACAACAACACCAACAGCAACAATAGCAGCAACATCACCAACAACAACAACAACAACAACAATAGCAGCAGCACCAATTATCGAAAGCAGTTCGACCGCGTTTAGCACAACAGCAACATCTATCGATGCAACAGCAACAGCAACTGCAACAGCAACCGAAAAAGAAACAGAAATAGAGACCACAACATTTTGGTCAAAGCTCATGCCAAGGCTGGGCCTGAGCTCAACAGAGCAAACAGCAGAGACAATAGCAACGCCTGCAGCCACTTTAATATCGGGCAATTTAGCTGGCAGCTCAATGGCAACTACAGCAATAACAACAACAGCAGCAACACAAGCAACAACTGTAGCCAAACAGCATTTAAGTATTAATAGGAATCGTATGACTATGAATAGTAAAATAATTAGAGTATATAACATTGGCAATATCCCACAATCAATATCAACAACAAAAACAGTAGCAACAACAACAACAGCAACACCACCAACATCAACTTTTGAAACACCCACCGATGACAATTATTCGCCGCTTTGGTGGCTGGAAAAAATTGGCTTGCGTTTGGATCGTCAGGTGGACGAACAGAATGAGGAACGTTCGCTGCTCCTGCGCTTTTTTATACCATTTCGTGCTAACGACAGCATCACAAAAGTGACAACGACAGCGACAGCATTGCCGTAATGAAGCGACGCTAATGTTTAGCGCTACAGCGAGCCTTTTAGCCTATGTGCATATGCGGCTTTCCTGGAGCGGCGCTGCTCCTAGCTGCTCTCGCCAATGCCGAGAGTCGCTGGAGTCCGTTGGGCGGCCGGGATTGTTGTCGTGTGTTGTGTGGCGATGCCGGCGGCAACAACGTTTCAATTATGTGTTGAAGTCTGTTTGTCTAGTTGCAATGGCGTCCAATTGTTTTTTTTTTTTTTTGTTCATTTCCACTAAGTACTTGGCTCTCAGTTTTGTCAATAATTTTTTTGCAATTTTTCATTTTATCACTTTCAAAACTTATTAAATTGGTTTTTCTTTTCTTTTTTTACGTGTATGTATTTTTTTTTGGTACATACTTATTCTGTCCACAATTTCGATTATGATCTAATTTTATTTAATTATTTTTTGTTTGTTTGCAAACACTCTTAGATGTTGTAATATTTTTTTTTGTGTTATTTAGTTTGCTGCGTCTTTTATGTTGTTGATTTAATTTTAATATACATATTTTTTACAATAGTTTTATTTATGTGCTTTTGTGGAGCACGCGCTCGCCAGTAACAAGCAAATTGCTGTTGTTGCTGATGCTGTTGTTGCTGCTGCTGCTGTTGCTGCTGCTGCTGTTGCTGTTGCTGCTGTATACCTTAGCAATATTTAATTGTGATTATTTAAAGTTAAACCTAGTTCTTAGTACATATACTAAAACACACTCACCCCCACAGAATATGATTACTGCTATTATTATTGATATTATTATATCTACTCTATTTGTACCATAAATCCCATTAGCCCAACTATGCATATCCCACGCCCTTACCCTTCACCCCTTCCCGTATTACAAATAACATCGTTTTTTTTTTTTTTATGTAAAGCCTTGTCTCTGTGTATATACCTTCAATGGGAAGCCATTAATATGCGACGGTTAATTTTAAATATTGTAAATTGCTGCTGCATTTGAATTTGAATATTGTAATTAAGATACAAAGAAAAAATTGCGTTGCTTTTTAAATGCTGCATAATGAAACATTTTCAAAGATATACGAGTTTAAATATTATAATAATAATAATTTTTTTTTTAGCACTTAAGCGTAATATTTATGCTATCTAAAAAAACACAAAATGATTATAAACTAAATGTAATGCATGTACATAAATACAAATCTTTTTTCTGTTGGTGTCTTAAACAATCGAAAAGAAAATTAAAAAAAAAAATATATATACATATATATCGTAAATATCGAATAAAATGAAATATCGAATTTTATATTGGCTGGTTAGAAATGAAGCAATGCATTGTGCATAGCCAACTTCGGTTCAGTTCAGTTATTCAGTTGCCACTGATCCTAATTCATGCAAAATGGTTTTTTTTTTTCACTCAAGGACACACACAGTTGGAGATAGAAATTCTTTTGCGTACAAATGGAATGTTAACCACGACGACAAGCTCACAAGATATATAAGTAAGGGAAGACGGAGAGCAACAAATACGGAAAATGGATTACAAAAAGGCAAAGTGCCGTTTTATTTACACACTGGCATACCGGATCCGAAGGGCTTTCATTATCATGATTTAATAGCCTGGCCGCAGTTTACGGCTGCATACTTCAACCCCCTTACCACACTTCCCTCCCACACATTTTCAGGTCTCCAATCTCTCTCTCTCTCTCTCTCTCTCTCTGTTTGAACACGAGAAATTGTCGTTTGTTCTAAGTAGGGAATGGTGCGATTATGCGGGATTAAGTTGGCCGCTTGGTTGGGCATGCGGTCGCGACTGCAAGTTGGCAAGAAAATTTCTTGCCACTGTGCACATAGCCAACTTCAACTCATTCAAAAGTAATGCCAGCTTAGTTTTTATGACTCGGCGGCTGCATCGAAAATTGGGCAAGCAATTTGGCTTTGCTTCAAAACACAAACAAGCAGCCAAAAGAATTGGCAAGACACGAATTGCTGCTGTCAAAATTGATGGGAAATCATCAGAGAGCCGTAACAGCATCACCAGCAGCATTGACCAAAGAAAATCATGCATCTCAGGTTTTTGGTTTGCTAAATGCAAACACTGCAAATGCAGATGCAGATGCAGTTGCAAATGTGGTTGCGGATGCGGATGCGGATGCCAATGCGGATGTCAACGACAGCTGGCAACGACGTTGAGCAGCATTAGAATTACCAGGCGATGGAACAAAATCAGCAACGCCCATGAGGATGCGCATACATACACAGATGCACACACACACGCACACACATATAGACAGACACACACACACACACATTTTATGTTAATATATCTGTCACACTTGCCTGCAGCCGGCGTAGGTGACGATGTTTGTTAATGCTGCTGCTGTTGTTGCTCTTGTTGTCATTCGATCGCAGTGTTTGCCTCATGTAGCAAATGTTATTAGGAAAATTTAGCTTTTTTTTTTCCCCCGAAAATTCTTTGGTAAACATATGCAGACGGCATGTTAACATGGCGAATAAAATATTTCCGCGCAGAGGAAGAGAAAAATTGGCTGAAATGTTGAAATGCGTGTTTGCCTAACGATCTGCATCAGGCGCTGATTGAAGCAGCTCAGTTTGCATCTGCAGCTGCATCTGCTAATGTGAATGTGAATCTGAGTGTGAATGGGTGTGTGAATATGAATATATGTGTGTATAGCTATCTAGGCTATGTGGGTAAGCAACTTTGACTGACTGCTGAGTGAACAGAAATCATTTCGCTTAGTTATGCACCGCACTGGCGCCACCTAGCGGCCGGCGGTGGCACGATTGTTTAGCTCTTTTTGCTGCACATCCTTTGGCTGCGTACATATTTTTTTTATAACAGTCACGAAGAAATATGTGGTGCTCCTAGTTGCACAATTTAGTTGATAAATTAAATGGAGTTTGAAGCAACGAGTTTATTATACCATTATTTGCAGTATTTGTGAATTTTGTCATAAAAGTCGAACATATAACAAATAAAATATTTCAATTACAGAAAGAAAAGTTGTGTGCTTTTTCCGGGCTCTGAATTGTTGCTGAATATTTTAAGTGTGAAAGATGAAATTGGTGGGCGGTGTTCGGTGGGCGGTGTGGGGCGTGGATGGGATTGTGTAAGCCAAATGGCAACTTCTGCAACGGAAAATTGCTGCCAGAAGAAAATTGCTGTTTATTTGACTATTAAGCTCAAATGCACACTGAAAACAGGACGATAAAACGACGACGCACTTAAACGTTTGCACATTCCCACTTTCTCTGTGTGCGTGTGTGTGTGTGCGCGTGTGTATGTGTGTGGATGTGTGCATAAAATATATATGAAACGGCGCCTAATGCTATGCAATACAAAGTCTTAATGTGTTGTGCAGTATTTTAGTTTTCAATGGCTGAGCTTTTATGCAAAGTAAACAATACGCTGACTGACTGACACACACACACACACACTCACACACACACAGCCACACACACATTTACAAACGTTCAGCTGAGTGCGTGTGTATTTGTATTTGTATTTGTATTTATATTTGTATTTGCCAGTTGAAGCATTAGCTATTGTCTGCCAGTCAAACCTGCCCATAATGAATTGCTGGTGGGCCTGGGGGTTGCCAAGGGTAGCGGTGGGTAGAGATTGGTGGAGAGATAACGTTGTGCAATCCGTCCATATTGAAAGCCGAACTCAACTAAACTGAACTGAACTCAACTGAACTGAAGTGAAGCTTCACAATCTGCTCAATGAATCTCAATAAGTTTGTCATGGATGCTGCTGCTTTTGTGTGTGTGTGTGTGTGTGTGTGTGTGTGTGTACGGGTGTGTGTGGATGTGTGTAAGTGTGTGCGTGTGTGAGTGTTTGAGCTTTGTTTGCATTTGTGTGCGTGTGCTAAATCAAGCGGTAATTGGTTATACTTGCCGCTGCCGCCTCTGTTCCTAATGCTTCTGCTGCTTCTGCTGCTGCCGTTGTTTATATAATTGAAACTAACGCAAATAAAGTGAAAAAGCTTTCTGATTATGGGGATTTGCGCCTGCCACAGAATGAGCGTAGCTAAAAGCCCAGCCAAATGCCGCCTCGTTGCCACTGCCACTGCCACTGCCACTGCCACTAACATTGCCTTTAGACACTTGTGTTAGTATTCATGTTAGCATTGCCTGGGCGGGAGCAACCAAGCGCCAACTAGATGTATTCTCTTAATGAATACGAAGTCTTTAGATGTGACTGTAACCTGTACAGTGACGCAAAGCCTGTCAAATATAATCGTATGATAATTATCAGATCATTTTATATCATATTTAAATAAATAAATATATATATATATAAGGCAATTGAAGTTCAGATTCTTTAAATATGTTTGCACACATAATAATAATTAAATAATAAATTACGAATTAAAACAAAGGCAGATAATATTCAGTTTTTGATGATGAAATAATAATATATAATTAAATTTTGATTGTAATAGAAATAAGATTTCAAGTAATTCAGTTGCAGAAACACATTTTGAACTACTATTCTGTATTGCAATGCTTCAGCTATTGCCCACTGTGTGGCACATAAGTTAGGAGGTGTCTTTTGTGTGCGTGTGTGTGTGTGAGTGTGCTTGATTACTGAGTTGAGAGCTGTTGTTTAAGCTGTTGTTAACTTAAGTATAACAATCATAAGGATAACGTTAGGCGATTGCGATTTTGTTGGCATTTAAGCTACCAAACAAGCTAAGGCTGCTCCTTACACGCACACACACACACACACACACGCACACACTCACATTTACAGAAACACACACATACACACACAAGCGCGTGTTTACACCTTATTTATTTGGCACTTTCATTACTGGCACTTCATGCCACACACTCTGCTGCCTCGCCCCAACTACCTACATCCAAAGTTGGCCACTTAAGCAATTGTGTTCAGTCTGTAATTGGTATTGTTGGGATTTCCTGCATCAACATTTTTTTTTTGTTTTTCTTGCTGTTGCTATTTTTGTTCTTATTGCTTTTGCAGTTTATGTAACGATAGAAACTCGGCTCGATATGGCAGATATATTTCGGAAAGTACATATCTGCATCCATAAGCATATACATACACATATCTTTTGAGCCCACCTCCATCGCATTTTGAAAGCACTCGGTTCATTAGATTTCGAAATGCGCAAATTGCCCGTTTTTGTTTTGGCTGCCTCTCAATGCAAATGCTTAAATGCTTATTTGTCGTAATTCATTCACAAACACAAACATGCCATGCAACTCAATTAATGGCATTAAATGCAAATTACATTTAAATGTGGCGCATAATTTTGCATTTGGCTGCCTTTTCCTGTGGTTAAATATCTGGAATTTTAGTGCGCCGGAAATCATTGCAATAATCAAAATGTTGCTGGCAATATATTTAACAATAATATTTAAATTGGCTGCCTAGGCTGCTCAAGCTCAGCATTCTTACACGTAGTGTTTAAGATTGTTTAACGAAATACAATTCCGTTCGAACTGAGAGTGAAATATTTTCAACTGTTTGCGTACTTCGATGATCCCCCATAATCCTTGAATTCAGATCGATAGAGTAGGTCCTTGCGACTCTAACGCCCTAGGTTCTTCTGCAAGGTTGGGGGTCGAGCTTAAGCCGCTTTTCTCTCGTGTACTGTGTGCTCCCCAAATTATGCAATACTTTGTTGAGAAATTTAGTTGATGCAGCAACCCAATTTGGATCATTGGTTCATGTACATGCTAAAATAACAAAATATTCTTTCGAAGTGCTTGTTTATTTGTATCTGTTTGTATTTGTATCTTGTGTGTCATTGCTTAAGTAATGTATGTCTCCATTACACACTTAGCTAATTATTGTATCATTATGAAAATTTCTGGAATAAATTAATTGTGTGTACCTGGCAGGTTTCCGCATTCCAAATAATATACAAATGCACAAATTGTTGTCAATTGGCAATTGTTCATTCTTGTGGCTTTCCCTTTGCCTGTACTTAATCAATGTGTATAATTTATGAAACGTGCAATTGAGAGTGAAATCGCAGTGTCAATAGAGGCGCTGTGTTATTGCAAAGAGCATCTTTCAAGCAGCACAAACTGGCTGCAATTAACCGAGCCGAGATAATGCTGACCTTAATACCAATCAGATGTGCAATGAGCTCTTGCCATGTGTTTTGCACAATTTGAAAACCAAACACGCGATCGCAATTGCAATTTTATAATGCGCCGTATTCATTATCATTGTCATTGGTATTGTCAGTGCTGTGGTTCGCTGTCCGTTGTCCGCTGTCCGTTGTCCGTTGCCTGTTGCTCATTGTCGCTGGAAATTGTTCCTTGTCCGATGTCCGATGACCATTGTCCGTTGTCCGTCCGTTGACGACACTTGTCATAAATAAGCAATGCAGCCGTGCAGCAGTGGAGCTCTCTCAACTCTCAACTCTCAGCACTCAGCACTCAGCTCGGGGCACAGGGCTCGAATTGAACGACTGAATTCAATTTAACGAAAAATTGCAACAATCAACGCTGCTCGGTGCGTCCTGTGTCCTCTGTCCAGTGACCTCCGTCCAGAGCCGTGCATGCCCCTCTTTATCCATTGTGGAGCCTTTTTTGGTGGGCTTTCAACACCCTCGTAGTTGGGATTGTCATTTGATCGCAAAGTACCCATCGTTTGCATTATGAGTATGCACATACCACACATGCACTTGTCTTGCTTACTGACATCGTACTGGCTATGAGGAAGTATCTTCTCTCCAACACGATAATTGAATCAACTGTATGTATAATATATATAAATATATATATATATATTATATCTGATTATGGTTGCAATGAACGAAGACGTTATATTCAGCGTACGTCAGACACATGAGCCCGTGCAGAGATAACTGTTTGATTAAAGTACAAGTGCTGCCTGAGGAGAAGGTATTTGCATTTCGGTTTGCCATTGAGATAGCTTTCTTGTATTCGATATTTTTTTTCTCATAGCTTTGCCGCCCACATTTTGTGGACAGGAAAAAAAAAACGAGCAGCTAAAGCAGAGCAGACAATGGGCTGACCGGCTGGTCGGTTGGTTGGTCGGTTGTGATGGCTGGACAGGATTTCGAGGTGACCAAACGGCAACAGCAGGAGTCGCAATAACAGGAGTTACACGCTGTTGCCGAGGGGCATGGACGCGCACAGGCACAAGGGCGGTTGGTGGGGTTGACAGGAAACACGAGGCGGCAACACCGCAAAAGGCACAGAGAAAAAAAAAAAGAGAAAAAGATTCTTGGTCAGCGCAGTCGAATGGCGAAAAAAGTTGCACAGCGTATGCCAACAATGTAATTTTGACGCTTGATCTCGGTAAAGCACACACACACACACACACACACACACACACACACACACACACACACACACACACACACGAACACGAACAAGCACACACATGAACACGCACACACACTCAGTCACCCACATATACACTGCGGCTACCAAATGGCAGATGGAAAAAGACGTGAAAAAAAATGCCGCTATATAATGGACACCGAGGAATTTGGCAGCAAAAAATACCACATATGTGTGTGCGCATGTGTGTGCATGTGTGTGTGTGTGCTTGTGTGTGTGTGTGTGTGTGTGTGTGTTTACAGAACAATGCTTGCATCGAGCTACTGCTGCTGCTGCTGCTGCTGCCGTTATAGTTACAGAAGCTGCTCGTTTTGCGTGCGTTTTTTATGCGACTTTGTTTGCGCTTTCACGCGTTTTCTGTGCTTCTCTGCCCATCCGTCCCCCTCCCCCCCAATTGTCACTCGACGACTTTGTGTTGTGCGTGTGTATATCTATATATGTGTGTGTGTGTGTGTGTGTATGTGTTATTACTGTCAAACCGCAGTCGTCAGCCAAACGGCCTCATAATATTTCATTGTTGTTGCAGTTTGTTGACATTTAGCTTGCTGCTAGGTCTATTTCGTCCTGCTACTGTTGGCGACTGTGCGGCAACAGGACACGTGCGAGTTGACACACAGCCTCTGCGACAGGTTCAGCATATGCAGACTTCGAAGAAGCAGCAGCCATTGCTTTAACCACTTGCCACGCAGATCAGAAGCGATTGGGCGCCTGAGGAAAGTCATCGCAATATTCGGAAAATTATTCATGATTTATAATAATTAACTGATCGACTTAAGTAATTTACAGCTGAGTCTGCAACTCACATTTATGTTTTATGACTATGACTATGGATATTAAAATAAATACATTTTTTAACTGACATAATTTGTATTACATTTTCCACGAAATCCCGACAAAACTCACAACTTTTATATATAAAATGATTCATAATATAATAACATTTGCAAAAGCTGTTTAAAACCCTTTGGCAATTTAAATATATATTTTTAATGAATGATTCCATCAGCTTGCCCAGTTGGTGATAACCAAAGTAGCCCAGCTCTGACAGTTGTGGAAACTATTTAAGAGTCTATATCTAGATGAAATATCCAATTTATTCCTTTGCCCTCGGTATTTTAGAGTTGAGCGTGTTAAGTTAACGTTTATTGTTATTTAGTATTGCCAAAATTCAAGTTCTTTTTCTAAGATGAATGCCTCCGTTTGTGTGATGGTGACGGTGCCCACTGAGCAGGAGGAGAAGTGCCAGTTGCAACTGCAGTCCAAGCATTTTATTGACGGCGGCTGGAATCAGGGGGCAAGGCTGCTGCCACGGATGAGTAGAGCGCTGCAGCTGCCGGAGTTGCCGGACAATACACCGCTGGCACAAGTGCTGCGTCGGATTGTAATGCAACTGCGGCTGAAGAATGTGTTCTGGTCGCATGATGTCGATGGCAGACAGCTGCAGGCGCGCATCGATTTGCTGCAGGACGAGCGATACGAGCAGTTCCTGTGCACGCTGCAGGATTGGGGCATTGGCGACCGGCCGGGCACCCATGTGACCGCTGTCAGTTGCCTGGAGACGCGTGTTAAGTTCTGCAACGGATCGGAAGCTGCACAAGGAGCAACAGCAGCAACAGCAGCAACGGCAGCAACAGCAGCAGCAGGAGCCAAAGGATCAGCAGCAACCGAAGCCTCACAGCCACCGAGTCAGGGACAACGAGTGGGCTGGCAGACTTTCCTGGACTCGGTGCGCAGCCGTTTGAATGTAAACCAGGTGGTGCGAGTGGTGCGTCATGATGCGACTATCAATTTTGACTTTGTGGTGCTGCTGATGGCCGCGGCGCTGCTGTCATGTGTTGGCTTGGTGGAGAACAGTTTCCTATTTCTGTCCAGCAGCATGCTCATCTCACCGCTGATGGGCCCCATAATAGCGGCCATATTCGGCTCGGTGATTGGCGATCGCGGCCTGCGCTGGCTGGGCATTAAGAACGAGCTGATTGGCATTGCCATCTCGATGCTGATGGGTTTCATATTTGGCGTGGGCGTCTGTGTGTGCGGCTTGGGGCGTTTCTTTACGCTCGCCAGCGGCTTAAACGAGGAGATTATGTCGCGCTGCGACACTCGCTCACTGGCCATTGGCCTCTGCACGGCGCTCACCTCAGGCGCTGCAGCGGCCATTGGTGTGTTGGGCGGCAATATGGGTTCGCTGGTGGGCGTGGCGATATCAGCATCCCTACTGCCGCCGGCAGTCAATGCGGGACTTTTGCTAGCGATCGCACTGTGCACTCAAATCATGCAACTCGATCAGGAGCTGCTGCAGGGCCTGGCCAAGCATCGCGAGTATTCGCAGCAGTTGCACATTGAGCTGTTTGTGTGCGCCACTGTCAGCATGGCACTGACGCTGCTCAATGTCATCTGTGTCTGGCTGATGGGCGTTGTGGTGCTGCACATTAAGGAGGTGGCTCCGACGGTGCAGCGGGATCACCACTTCTGGCGCCACGATGTTCGCCTGGCTCGCGAGGTGGCGCTGCACGATCCCCAGCTGCAAAGTGCCATCGATCGTTTGGATTTGGATGAGCGACGCCAGGTGGACGTTAATGCGCCACATTATCAGCACACATGGTCGCCGGGTAGCGTGCATCCTGGTCTGAGCAGGGAGTGCAACGACAATGGCTGCAACTATCATACGGTGCATGGCCTTAAGGATTTTTGCATTACGCTGCACAAGCTCAACTCGCAGCTGCAGCGTACCGCGACGCAGCCCACGCTGCCCAGCTTTGTGGATGTGTTCAAGCCACTGGAGCAAGTGGCACGCAGTCCAGTTGCAGCTACGAGCCCAACATCGACTGCACTATCTCAACTCCCATCTGGTAGCGGCATAAGCAAATATCGTAGCCTGCCTGATCTGCGGCAATCGCAGACTGAGTTCGCCAAGCCGCGCTCCGAACCCGAACCCGAACCCGAGACGAAGGGCAAATCGAAGACCGAACGTTGCGTCCACTGGAGCCAGGAGCGTGAACAGTTGCTGCACGAGAGTCGTCAACAATTTGATCAGGATCAGTTGCTGTTGCCGGATCGACGACTGCGGTTGCTGACCAACCGTCGGAGTGCTGACACCAAGGAGAGCGAGCTCGAGCACGAGTTCAATGTATAGCTGCTGGCAGCTCAGTCAGCTGCCACCGGTTCTTTCGCAATTACTTTCATCGGTCAATAGACAAACTGCGACAAACAGCCAGACAATCATTGCAGCCAAGCTGGCTCTTTTTTCATTCTGCTCGCTGCTCGTTGGCCATGTTTGGCTTTTGATTACTTCGCGATGTTCTTGTTTGCCCAGCACTTTCCGTTGACAGCAGGAGTGCCTGGAGAGCCGTGCTTTAAATACTGCTCAAAGTCCTTGCTGTTCCTCGATTTTGTTTGCTTTCAATTTGCTGTGAAAATGTATATGTACGTAATGCATATTCTTGATCAGCAGAGCGGGAATGGTCGAGTCGCTCAGTCCATTAAGTCTTTTTCTGTACATATGAAACCATATATTTCAGCTCTGCTCAGTTTAGCTTGGGTTATCGGATGTCGCCGGGAACGAGGGTGTCGCCCAACATAATGTCCGGAGCTGAATTTATTTAATCTTCTTGTTAAGCAAGTCATGATATGTTTTGTCAAATCAAATTTGATTTAAGAACCATTAGCCAAGATTCTGCTAACCAAATCAGACTCAATTCAATTAATTCCTTCGCAATTAATTCTTGACCACCTGGTTTGCACATTACACTGGTCAATAGAGTATTTTGCAGTCAGTTGCCAGTTGGATGATAAATGACATTTTTGGGTTCTCTTCAAACGAACATCTTTCGGGCTTACCATGCCTATCTGAGTAGTATAATATGAATCAGTTCAGACATATCTGTGTACATGTAATGTATACGCCCAGGTCGATTTACTTCGTGCATTCAAAAAATGTTCATTTACGATATTTATTTTTGTTTTTCTTTTGTTGTATTTTGTTTTTTTTTTTCATTGATTGCTTTTCGGTGTTTTTCTTTTTATTTTTTCTTTTATTGTCATCCCTTTCGCCGAAGCAGTGGGTCAGTTCTTCGTCAGTTCCTGGTCGTAATATACACCAAATAGCAGCAACAACAATTACGTGTTGCGCTTTTATTGTGCCTGTGTATCCTGCATCCTGTGTCCTCGGTGTTGGTCATTGAGCCCAGTTGGCCAGCCAGACAGCTTTCTAGTGTGAAAAAAGGTCCTGACCCTTTGATGTGATTTTGTTCTTGTTATTGTTGTCCTGTTGACGCAATTAGCGCCGTTTATAGCACGCGGTTCACCTGCAGTTCCAGGCAAGGGTGACAATTTGTAGATGTTGATTGTGGAATGTATTCTCTGAGGATTAGGATTCCGCTGGATTCAGTTTGTAACTTTGATTCACAGATGCTCACTCAAGTTGAAGTTTAGTTTTTATTAATGTCTCTGAAGAACTTATTTCTTTGTAGCTTACCTGCACTGTTATATGTTAATCTCTGTCCTGCTGTGAATTGTGCTAGATGGCAAGAAAATCAATGTAATCGATATTTGGAATATTTAGAGACTGTAATTCATGTTTGACTGAGCTGAGATGCGTCGGCTTTTGTCTGGCATCATCTACAATTAGTCAAAGCTTACTTTTTCCTTAATTGATAATCAGAAATAAGTAAGCAAATTCGATTTTATCAGTCTTAATGTTTTCAAACAAAGTGCATAAAAAGCTGACAACGAAGCACAGCCAACAGCTGGCAGCAATATCTTCAACGTGCAACGCGCAGGGCAACACATCATATACAAATATTTAATTAAAGGACCCAGAGGCAAAGGAACACCAATTATGATCCTCTCCTTGTGTGAACACAGGGTTAATTTCCTTAGGTAAAGCCACTTATTTGTAACTGGACTTAAACTTGGTGCAATGGGTGGGTGGCTGCCTTGGTTGCCACTTGAAGGTTCTGCGGCTTGGCTCCAGAAATGGTTGCACCACTCGAAAACAGATGCAGACTGGCCAGCACTTGGTTCTGTACATGGATAGACTTGAAATCACATGCCTAATATAATTTGTGGAGCAGACACCATGAAGCCAAGAGCAGGAGAAGTCAACCACCAAGAAAATACAAGCACAAACAACTCGCTTCAGATTCAATAATAACTTGTATAAAGTCATCATGAATAGCTTATCATTATTTATTATTTTTTAAGTTGAAATTCCATTTCATTACAAATGTGTAGCTCAAGGGCGAATGCTTACTTTAGATTAAAAACAAAAAAAATTAAGGAGTGCTACGCATATAAATATATGTATGGCAAATGTAAGCAGACTTAAATAAAAGCACTTCACGTCAAGTTTAGTCAGAGCCTGAGCCTTCGGCAACTAAAAGCTTAAATAATCGATTCCAAACTTATATTTTAGTGCATTTTACATCAATTTAATTTGTAACATTTTTAACATCAATATATGGTTCAGATTCTTTCTTTTTTATTAATATTCGAGGAATACTCTTACTTAATAATATTTGAAATTTTTATTATTCGCAATTGCTGTGATTTCTATGTATATTTTAAAAATCTGTATAGTAATCAAAAGACAGCCGAGTTCTTGGTCTGAAAGGGTATGTAATCCTGGCATGGCTAAGACTGCTGTTGTTGATTGGATTAATCATTTTTTTTAGGTTTTATTTTACATTTATTTTCCCAGTGCACATTGGAGGGTATTGCTCTTACGAATAGGCCATAAATTTATTAAACAACTCAATAAAGTGCACTTCCTGCTAGTCGTAAGTGTTGTAATACCACCCGGAACTCATTTCGACCTTCTGCCGCCCTTTCATCAACCCCTCTCCCCGTTCCCATCTGTTTCAGTCGCTTTGTGCTTCACTTCAACTTCAACACTGCCAACTTCAGCTGAACTTCTTCTGCAACAAATTGTGTTGGCCGAAAACGAAATGCAGCTTACAATAACAAGTTAGAGGCATTTCATTTTAATCTTGCAGCAACTGGGCATGGAGGGAGCCTGCACTGGAGTTCGACTTGGACTGGGAGCTGCAACAGGGTCTCGACTCCTGGCACTGTCAGCATTGTTCTTTGAAACGGTTCTCTGGTTTGGTTTTACTTTTAAATTATGTGTTTTAATATTTTACAAAGACTAAAAACTGAAGCACTTTGCTTATAATCTTCTTCCCGTTGCTCTCACCCTTAATATCCATAATGAGCAGCAGGAAAAGGCTGCATAGTTGAGGATAGCGGGCAATTGGAGACGGCAACAATACGGAACGGCAGCTTCTAAATAACTACAAAAGACGGCAAAGGCTGAAATGGCACATAACGAGCAAAGTCATACAAAAATGATCCCAAGCTGTAACTTTTAATTTAAGAAAAAAACCAAAGAACAGACATTCTACTTAGCTTGTTTTCTGAACTGGGATGCTCTTTTACTGGACTCAGGTCACCACTTGCCTGCTTGTTGCCACTTTCGCTTTGTTTACTGCAACATCAGACCAAGGTTTTGCAAGCTATTTCATAATAAGAAGATTGAAGACTTTCTTAATTAGCACAATTAAATTTGTTGTGAAAAGCAGAGAGCTTTAAGGTAAGGTAGATGAGACTGATGCCAATTAGTCACAAGTTTTTCTCTATAAATACAGATAATCCATTTCTAAAATACAAATGATGCTAGGAAGTACGATCTGAAAATAAATGAGTTAGTTTTTTAAATTGAAAAAGGGTGATATGAGTATATTGGTTTTGTGCAAAAGTATGTAACAGCAGAAGATGCATCTAAGGATCTCAGAGACTATAAGAGCTTGAGACTTCAAATTTGGAATATAAGTTATCGTATATCCCTGGTCGATTGATTTTATCGAATATTGATCCATATCCATGTTCGATGGCAACAAAAGCCACAATGTTAAAATAATTAAATATGCATAAATATGGTCAAGCACTTGCACATATAAGACTAAAATATATTTAACAGTTGGGCTCAGGGTATCTTGAAGTCAAGCTCACTCGACAATAGTATTCCTACTTGTTTGTTTATATCTGCTGAGCGTTAACAATTAAGCCGTCAATGTCTTAGCAACGAAGGGGAGGAGTGGCAAATGGAAAGCTGGTCAGGTGGTTACCTAATGTATGCTCATACTTCTTGCTGGCCTGTTCTCTGCACTATCCGCACTTCTGGCCACCTGGTGTGGAATAGTATCTGGCTGAGTAACGAGTGCTTGCGACTTAATTATCTGCGACAATTACAAGCCGGCAACAAATCTAAACTGGAATGTCCTGCATTTCCTGTGCGTCCACCGTCCTGTTTGTCCATGCTACGTGTCCTGTCAGCACATTTGTCTACGTGGCGTATGAATAATTGCAAATGCCAACAATTGGAACATTTGTCGTTTTCACCGTTGTTGTGGTTGCTGCTGCTGCTGCTGTTGTTGAAATTTCACAGTCGCCTCTCTCACTCACACACACCACAAGCACTCGTACACAAATGATATTATGCTCATGCAAGACATTTCTTTCACACACCTGACTACATAGGTGAGTGTAAGTGTATGTGAGTGTACGTGTACGTGTACGTTTGTGTGTGTGTGTGATGGCGTATGTCTGCTAAAATTTAGATAAATAATTCTGAATGTTAATTGAGTGTAAGAACTTTAAGTCTGGCCAGAGTTTTAGACTCTGCCATTTGTGTGTGCAAATTAATTAACTAAATTATTTAGTGAGCAGTAAAACGGGTCACATGTACACATGCCTTGCACACACACACACACACACAAATACACACACACACACACACCCACACAGGGAATATTATGAATGATGCTTTTATTATTTGCTGTAAGTTGTTAAGAACGATAATGATGATGTCCGGCCATGTGCTGGTAGGCCAAACAACAGACTTCTACACACACATTTATATTCATATATATATATAAATATATATATTTATATATACATACGTATACACAGACATTTAGTACATATGCCTGTCTCTTGGCATTTGGCATTAATTGCGGCCTAGCACCAACGAAAATTACCTGCCCTCCAGCCAAGCACCATCCAAACACCGAACGACCGACCCATTCACTGACCAGACAAGCTGGCCAGAGCTTGTGCATTAGTCAAAATACAACAAACACTCGGTATACATACATTTGTGTGTGTCCTGAGTGTCCTGCCACGACGCAATTTGGCTGATGCCAAACATTAAGCAATATTTATGA